ATGTTACTCAGCGCTGATCCCAACGCTGAGGAACCATCCCTGAGGAACACCACTCGTCACCGCTCTCCACTTGGACATCGAGCCATTGACCACAACTCTTTGAGTGTGACCATCCAGCCAGTCCCTTATCTACTGAGTGGTCTGTCTGTCAAATCCACATCTCTCCAATTTAGAGACAAGGATGCTGTGTGGGACAGTGTCAAATACTTTGCACAAGTCCAGGTAAATGATGTCAGTTGCTCATCCCTTATCCACCAATGTAGTAATCTCATGGTAGAAGGCCATCAGATCTGTCAAGCACCATTTGCCCTTAGTGAAACCATGTTGGCTGCCACCAGTCACCTCCTTATTTTCCATGTGCCCTAGCATAGTTTCCAGGAGGATCTGCTCCATGATCTTGCCGCACACAGAGGTGAGACTGACTGGCCTGTACTTGCCCAGGTCTTCCTTTCTTCCCTTTTTGAAAATGGGGGTTATGTTTCCCCTTTTCCAGTCAGTGGAAATTTCACTGGATGCCATGAATTTTCAAATATGGTGGATAGTGGCTTAGTCACTTCATCCTCCAGTTCCTTCAGGACCTGTGGATGCATCTCATCAGGTCCCATAGATTTGTGCACCTCCGTGTTCTTCAGATGGTCTCAGACCTGATCTTCTCCTACAGTGGGTGGTTCTTCATACTCCCAGTCCCCGCCTTTGTCTTCTGCCACTTGGGCGGTGTGGCTGGAGCACTTGCCAGTGAAGACTGAGACAAAAAAGTCACTGAGCACCTCAGCCTTCTCCATGTCGGTTGTAGCCAGCTCTCCCATTTCCTTCATCGGGGCAGATGAGGTTTCTTTCATCTTTCTTTGTTGTCCTAAGTACCTGAAGAAACCCTTCTTGGTATTTTTCATGTCCCTAGTCTAATTCAGCTCCACCTGTGCCTTGGCTTCCCTGATCACCTCTCTGCACCCAGCAGCCATATTCCTATAATCTTCCCAGGATGTATATCCCTGCCTCCACATTTTGTTTTTGCATTTTAGTTTGGTTAAGAGGTCTTGACTTAGCCAAGCTGGCCTCCTGCTTCCCCTGCCTGTCTTCTCGCACATCAGGCTTGAAAGCTCTTGCACCCTGAGAAAAATGTCTTTCAGCATCTCCCAGCTCTTGTTTGTGCCTTTGCCTCTGAGGGCGCTTCTCCAAGTTATCCCATGCTCTAGCACACTAATCAGCCGAAAGTTTGCCTTTCTGAGGTTTAGAGTCCTGACTCTGCTTTTTACCCATCTTGTACCCCTCAAGATTGAGGATTCCACCAGGGCATGATCGCTGCAGCCCAGGCTACCTCGAAGCTTGACCTCTCTGATAAGCTATTCTGCATTAGTAACAGGTCCAGCAGTGCCTCTCCTGTGGTTGGGCTCTCCATCACCTGTGCTGGGGAGTTCTCGACGCACTCCAGTAGTTGCCTGGGCTGCTTTTCCAGCAGATGTCCGGGCGGTTGAAGTCCCTCGTCAGGGTCAGGGCCTGTGAATGGAATTTAGAATTGCTCGCGGAAGATTTAGACGTATGTGTAGATACAGCTATGTGTATATATAAATATGTACATATGTACACGTGTGTATAAATTGGCGCAAGTGTGTCATGTGGAAGGTCAGCCCGAGCGTGCCGAGCACCGCTGGTGGCCGTGGCCGGGGTGGGGTCGTGGGGGGCCCAAAGCTGCTGCTGCTGCCGGGGGCTCTGTACACGGGAAGGAAGCCTGAGCTCTGCCCGTGAAGCTGGACCCGAATGCTTTTTTTAAAAATTGGCCCAGAGAACCTGCTTTTGTGCGTCCAAGGTTGTTCCTTTGTCCAAATAATAGAAAATACCGGCGCACTGATGAAATAGCTGCTCTTTCCCACAACGTGCTTTAACCCACCTGTATTAAAACCGTGGCTGTGATTATGGGTCTATTTTGATCTTTGCACAGCGAGCGCACTGATGATAGACGGCACTGCCTCCCTTCCCTCCCTTCCCCACCAAGGTAAGTGCCCAAGGGAGACAGGTGGCTCTCACCCTGAGAGGTAAAGTTAAAAACAAAGTATGGATATGCACGGCTTTGTCTGCGGTGCCTTAAAGTGAGCACAGTCTAAGGGCCTGCCACAGGAATTAGTTTAATAGGGCTGAATACCGATCATATCTATATATTCAACATATATCACTATACTCTGTCCAGCTCTTTGGGTAGCAGAGTAGCGTCTAACCCCTGACCCTGGCTGCTCTAAGCAAGCACGGTCAAGGACAGTCACCCCCGACCCAGCTGCTCTCAGCCTCAGCCCAGCTGTAGGCTGCACCATTTCCTTCAGCCGTGCACTGTCCTTCGATCCTTCCATGCTCAGAGCTGGAAGTCATGGAAACGCCTTTGCTATCACCACCATTCAGCTCAGAAGAAATCGTTTGACGTTATTTATGTCCTGTGAGAGAACAATTCAGCAAAGCAGTTAAGGACGTGGGTGTCTGTTGTGCTGACCCAGTGCCTAAAGTGTGTTGGGAATATGAAAAGAAAGCGGATTGATAACATACAGAGTATTATCTACCTTAATTTTCTCAGTGTTCTACTACTGAACTGAAGTGTGGTGAGTTACATGGCACACTGTTTCATAGTCAAGACTTCATTTTATTTATGATCTGGATATTTTTTAACTCTTTCCGTGTTTACCAGTAGGAGTCACCTACACTCCTCATGCACTGTTGAGTGTCAACAATTTCAATTTAAGTGCATGAAGAAAACAAGATTGCTATGCTATAAAGATGCCAACTTCTGCTGCTACTGCCTCAAAAGACAAAACCTTCTTCAGTTACCATCATGTCACGCACTAAGAAGCCGGCACAGCCATGAACAGTGCTGACTGCACATTTCCTATATCCGTTTTCCCCAGAATTTTGAGTCCTATTTTATCTGTGGTTTTAGTTGAAACATTTCACCCTCACTGCAAGTTTGGAATGGGAGCAGGTTTATGACTGAAGTTGGTGCCTTTTAAAGTACTTTATATGTGTGTTACTAATGCGAATCCCTCCCCCCAACTCCTCCCTCTCTCTCTTTAGTTCTGTGAACCAACAGTACTTGTGCGGTTCATTCAGCTGTAGACTCTTGTGGCTGAATCAACAGGTACCATGAAACACAACTAGATGGCTTTTTGTTCATTTCGTTCCCGTCACCGAGCTCAGCCGGGGTTCAGGAGCAGTTGAAGTGTGTGATCAGGGTGTCGGCGCCGCGCCACGAGCTGGGGGTCGATCTGTCAGGTAACTCGAGTTCTTGGGACATTTCCCAGCACTGAGCGACTACAGAGGATGGAGGTTGTGCCCTTGTGGTTCAGGGACCAACAAGTCACACCAGTCCGTCCTCTCCTTCCCGTGCCAGCAGAGTTCGTTGACTATTTTGGGGGGACGGGGCAGGTATAGCTGAAAACAGACTGAGGTCTCATCTCTGCCAAAGAAGTAAAGGCTTCAATGCAGGACTAGTTTTGGCCTGGTTTCACTCCGACATGCAATGCCTGTGCAAAAGTGCACATGTGCATGTTTGCTCTCGCTTTTGCTCTTACACGTTTGTTTTTTTTTTTTTTTTTTTTTTTTCTTTCACTGAACACTAACAACCCAGTCCTGAGCAAAAGATGACCCTAAGAAATGGGTAGGTATGTATAATGACTTGTTTGAAGCAGACTTCGGTGTCAGCCTACAGTGCAGTGGTTATAATCAACTGGAAGTAAAATGATTTAAAATAGGTTTGAGGGAAAAAACATTTAAGTTATTTTCCCAGACTTTTTTTTTGGTGACCTTTTGTGATAATGTCATGAAAGCTCCTCATTTTATATATTACATCAGCTCAACAATTTGATGTAACTGTACATAATGAAAGGAAATTGCAGGCTATGAAATTTCTTTAGACCTTTTAACATTGTTCAAAATTTTTTCCCCTGCATAGGTTCTTTAATGGCAGAAGAACTGAATATCATGTCAGCAACTGACTATTAGTTCTTGGCAGAAAGGTTTGCATGGGCATTTGTGACAACCTGGCAATGAAATAATGGTTGGAGTTGGCTGACTTCTACAGAGACAGAAACTTAAATGAGCTCCATCTGAAAGTAATTGCTTTTGAAATACAAAATAATGATGGCAGAGGGAGAGAGGAGAGCGTGTGTGTCGTCGTGCAGCACTGGGTGGGGAGGGACCCATCATTTATCTCCGGATGCAGCACTTCTGGCTGAGCTGTAGCTGTGAAATCGGTGGCTGGAGCACAAGCCTGGCTCCACGGCGTGAGCGCGGCGGAGCGGCGCGCTGCCTTCGGGGCGGGCAGCAGCTGGAGCCCGGGCGCTGCGCTCGGCCCGCGGGCAGACGCGTGGGCAGGGGGCTGCCGTACCCGGCCGCGCCCGGGCGCACCACTGCACCGTACCACTACTAGGAAGTGCCAAGTTGTAAAGCTAAAGCATCGTGCCAACTTTGCAAGCTTTGCTAACCTTGCAGCGACCTGCCTCACCGTTCAACTATTAGTTTAGTTTAATATCCTGGAAAGAAACCACGCTGTCTCTACCACCGTGGTTGGGAAGAAGCTGTTGGTTTGCTACAGGGACCGTCTGGATGTAAGAATGCAAAGTCACTTGCTTCATAAATCCCCCTGCCAGGAGACGGGGGATGAGCAACCACCAGTGGTGACCAGTATAGAAAAGGTGGGAGAATTCTCGCAGGCTAATCATAAATCCTATTTTCTATAGGTGAGTATTAAAGAAATTGGCTAATTCCCTGGCAATTTTCACTGCAACCAAACACAATCATTCTTAGTGTCCAACAAAAGCCCTTACTCTCGCACTGAGTTCTCCTCGACGTGCGCTTCCCCGCTCCAGCACTGCCGCAACTCTTGGTTTAGAAAATCAGTTCCAGGGTGGGGAAATAGTCCAGCATTCCAAACTAGTCATAAGCAGTAGTTGGTTCAACTTTGTATTCCTCCTCCAGGAACTTACAGCCAGTTGCAAAGAAAAGGGTCTGTGCCACCAAACACGTGCTCCACTTCTAAATTTTTAATCTCTTGCTCTGACAAGCTGGAGGGGTTGTGCTTCTGCTGACCCCCTCGCGTTACCACGCAAATAAGCTGACCTCCCTCGGAGGGGCAGGGTCAGCACTGGTGGAACACAGGGCTGGCTGCCCCCCACTAGACACACCGACAGTCCCTGCAGACGTTGGCAAAATTTTAATGACAGTCCTCAAACTGTACAACCGAGAAGCAGCGGCAACGCTGACTGTACACAGGGGGTCGCTACCCACTGCCCAAGTGTCAGTTTCATTTTAAAAACGAAGCTTATAAAAATGCACAGTTCTCTCCCAAGATACTGTACACTATTCAGCAGGTTAAAAACTGAAAAAATCTTTCATTAAAAAAAGTCATTACATTATTTGTATACATCAGGGATAGTCTACATAATCATGTTCATCTAGAAAATATGTGCATTATAAACCATTTCCATGCAATGCAACAATTTCTTATTTCAAAGGTGGTATAAAAAGACAACACAGCAATCCTAACCCCTAGAACACTCTATGTGAAACAAAACAAACATGCATCCTCTTATTCAATGTGTTAGATGAATAAAATACAGTAACAAAGACTCAAAAAGATGTGGATTGTTTTGTTTCCAGCAAGTGACTGCAGTCCCAAAAGAGACAGCTAACGTGAAGTGTGTGCAGTCATCAGTTCAGTCAAGGTGCCTCTTCAACCGCTGGGCTGTCACGCTGTGTTTAAGATTACTGTGATGTAGTTTCTGCATCTAATAACTCAGTATTCAATCACCTTGCAAGCTTAGGAGCACTGCACCTATAAAATAGTGTACCTATTGCATCAAAGTATAAAGTGTGTCGCTTACAGTTTAAAAATCTATAGAAAAAGGGTTTTTTCCGTACAAAAATGCTGAAATTTTGTCAAGGGACGCATTTTGAGATGTGAAATTTAACACATTCCCTGCAACAGCAGCAACCTGTGCAGAGGTGTGTAGGCTGGAGGGTGCTGTAGTGGCTGGTTTGGGGAACTAGCAGCACAAAAGTTTCTGTATTTAATTATGTGACATCACTGCTTGATTGGTGCTACCAGAATGAAGAAAACACCGCAGACAGTGTGTATTGGTTTAACTGAAGATTCGTGGGCTGCTTTCTAAGTTGGTGGAGGCCCGTTGGTGTATCGCAGCATAGGATAGAAAGAACGGGCAAAGTTGTTTGCCTGGGTGCAGCTGTAGTCTTCCTCAGAAGATGGAATCATGCAAGCCAGGAGTAAAAGCAGTAGAAAGAACAACTGAAGAGGTAAAGCTGCTCGTAGTACACGGTAAAAGAATGAGGGAGACCGAGGGATTGCTTGCAGAGGTTGTGGATGGCTTTCATCTCTGAAAAGGAGAAAAAAAGGGAAGAAAAAAAAAAAAAACAAACAACAGAAAAAAAGAGGCCGTTTAGAGTTTGAATTAAACAAGTTATTTTAACCCCTTCTCTAGGGTTCACATCACCCTTCCAAGATGCAGGGCTGTGATCTACGGGAAAACGCGCTGCACATTAAACACTTCAACTGCAACTGGAAAGCATGCAAGGTTGCTCAGTGGGAAGCCAGCTCCTGGTTTGGCTTTACCGTCCCTGCTACTGAAGAAGAAACATTTATTTGTAATAGCTTAGATCAGTGCTTTTTTCTACTATTTTACGATGCAAACCTAACTCTTCCCAGGAGACAAACAAAGCATGCTAAACGCATGCTGAAGTACAACGGAAAGCCGCTACCCTGGCTGATGAGGCTCTCTGCCTTGGCACCCTGAGATCGGTCCCTTGAGGAGGCCCTGATGGCTGCGGGTGAAGTTCTCCCTTTGTCTTTCCCGGTCTGGTTGTAACAAGTGGCTCTAAGCTGCAAGTTTCTTGTTCCAGGTATGCCGGTGGAATTAAAGGAAGATTTAAAACTTCAGTCTTCCCCCATTTAGCACAAAAAAATATTTTCTCCAGAGTAAAGACAAGCCAGGGTTGGACACTGGTGCGGAGGGCTGTGAGCAGAGTGCTAGAGGAAACCACTCGCCAAGGTGCAGCCCAGAGCTGGCAGGGGAGGAGATACCACAGGTAGGCGGAAATCGCCTCCACCCGTATGTCAGCCCAGGAGGAACAGCTGCCCAGGTTTCTGCTGGCACTCGGCTCTCCTCTGCCATTTTCACTATCCTTCAAAAGATCAGGCAAATATAAAATAATACCTTGTGCTGCTGCTGTTTCTTCCATCTGAAGTTCTCCTCATGGTGATCTGCTGAGAGAAAAAACTTTGAGTATCCAGGTTTCAGAAACTATAAAGAATTTTTCTTTCTCAAAAAAGACAGTTGTAGACTTTAAAGTCCTGCTGTAAATTCTGTAATGAGGTACATGCATCTAAAAGGTAAAATGATTACATCTGAGGAACTTTCAGGCTAAATGTGTCAAAATATGCTGCATGCTGATAGCAAAACACTAGAAAAAAATACTTGCCGCCTTCACAGCAGGGCTGGATTTCGCTGCGACTGGATTATAGACTCCTGAGTCCAAGTCTTCTGGAACTAGCAGGAATGCTCTGGCATCCTAAAAGGTAACCACACCTCCCTCTTTAAAATGCACGTTCAAAACTCACAACAGATGAAGCGCAAGGAGCCATCTTCCATTGCCCCTCTGCAGGTGCACAGCCCACTGCCTCTTCAGGTGTGCATGACCAGTGGTAAACAGACGCCCCGATTCCCCAGCATAAAGAAATGTTTTACTATTCACAACCTGAAGGAATTACGATGGAGCAGGTGTGTACAGGTATTAACTTGAAAAAAAAATCTCTATCTGACAGCTCTCAGGATAAGGACTACAACACCTACGTGTTGGTTACGCACTCCTAGCCTGATACTTGGTGTGGATTGTAGGATAATTCAGGTTGGAAGCGACCTCAGAAGTTCATCTTGTCCAACCTCCTGCTCAAAGCAAGGTCAGCTATGAGACCGCACCGAAAGCCTTACTCAAAGCTTTATCCTGTCTGCTCTCCAAAGCCCTGAAGGACAGAGACTGCACAACCTCTCTGCACCAGCCTCGTGGTGCTGAAGCTTTTCCTATTGCCAGAGTTAATGGTTCTTTTTTTCTGCTTATGAAGGTAGAAGTACTTAAGTTTTAAGTCAGTCTTTTATAAATACCTTTACTCTTAGTATGTTATTCCTTTTCAGTAAGAAACATCCACGAAGAAGTATATAAACTCTGACTCACCAGATTTCCTTGTATTGTTTTTAAGTCATGTGAAACTTGTTCAATAAGCTGTTTCAGTTTCTTTCCAATGACATGGACCTTCTCATCAGCTTCAAAGTAATCACCATCTGATTTAAGCAGCAGGTAAGCAGTGAGTTCTTGAAGTGAGTTTACTTTAAGCTGTTGTTCCAGCAGCTCTTTCTCCAGTTGCTTAGAACAAATGAAAAAAACAGTGCAACAGACTTACTCTCAACTTTAAGGATGTTCTCATAAAGGGAGGAACTCTGGAAGGCTTTAAAGAACAACTCAACCTGCTTGAGCATCTGCAATACATAGGAATGGCTATTACAGCTACATATGAAATGAAGTTCTCTTCAAGAGACTGGTTGTACCTGCTTGAACTAATATTTAGAAATAGTTGTAGCAGTACTTAATCCATAAGACATTAAACCTTGGAAATGGGAAGTCTTCCTCTAGCATAAAGACCGTTCATAAGGAACCTAATTATGATGTGTAATTACAGAAAATATGGCTCATACAGGCAATCTCTTAGTCCATTTCAGAAACCAGTACATGCCTGAATACAGCAGGTTTGAGGAGAGGCTGCAGACATCTTGAGAAATAAACACATTGCTCTTCATTTTGTGCTGAACGCGAGTGACTCACTGGAAAAGCTGAGGTGCTGCAGTTAAGACTACACTCACCATTAGCTCCTTTTGGCATTCCAGTATTGTATTGAGGTCAGTACTTGGATCTGTGATTTGTGCTCCATTCCTTCTGCTATCAGCACTTGATAACCACAGAATTAGCTTTTGGCTCTGATCATGGAAGTCCTAAAGAAGCAAAAGATTTGCACATAAGAGAAAAAACACTTTTGCAGTGCTTTCACCTGGCTTTGCCTACAAACAAAATGACTAGCCCAGATTAGACAAAGCCAATGATTCAGATCAGAGAGGCTACAGCAAGCTGGTTAAACTATTCTACCTATGTAATAAAAGGTTGTTATCCAGTTGAAAGATATTTTTACCAAACCCTTTAAACCCAGAGTCAAGTTTATGAGAAAATAGCGTCTTAGATTCTGAGCAACCATTCCAGTGGTGTGCAGGAAACACCCCCCTCTGCCCTCTCCCCTTTTCTACCCCTCAGCAGCACCCTAAAGAGGAGTTTTCCCTCGTACGCTGGCATGTCATATGCACCTGGCAATGCAGTAGGGCTTGTTGTAAACCTTTCCTCCAGTTGTCCAATGCATGAGTTGCCTTCTCCCAGTGCAAGTTCACCTTCCAAAGCCTGTTCTGAAGCTCTTTAAACTCCGTGCTATCCGGTTTCTGGAATTCTTTGATGCTCAGGTTAACGGAAAGCACCACTGCCTTGTAGTTATCAAATGCTTTAAGCATGTCCTGGTAGAAAAAGAGGATTAGGAGCTTCTAGAAGTAACAAAACCCAGGCTGTTTCTTTACAATAAAACTATGCCCTCAAAAGAATCACAGGTATTGGGGAAAGCTGTTTGAATCTGGTGGCTTTTCAGATACTGCTAAGGAACATATTAAGGAAGGTGGTCTTTTTTATTGTTGTTGTTTTGGGTTTTTTTAAAAGCCAAAACTTTCACTTTGAAGAAAACAAATCTGACTGGGCTTGTGCGCCTCCCTAAGTCACAAGCATTAGTGCTTATTCCACATCTGCCCTTAGAGTCAGGATCTTAGAATCATACCAAATAGTGCTGAAAGGGGTATCTGGAGGTCTGTACTCCATCTTCCTGCTCCAAGGAGGGCCAACTTCAAACTCAGAGCAGGCTGCTCAGAGCCTCATTCAGTCAAATTCTGAGTATTTTCAGGACAGAGACTCTCCATCCCCTCTGGGGCCCTGGTCCCACACCAGGCCACCCCACTGTGAGAAATTGTTTTTCTTCTCTCTAACCAGAGTTTCCATCAGCCCATTTCTCTGACTTGTCAAGGTGCCCTCAGATGGCAGTCCTGCTTGCTTTCCTCCTCTCCCTTAAAATTGCAGGGGCAAATAACATGGAATGTGCAAAGTCATGGCTGTATCATCTAACCACCTTTATGTTAAGGTAGAGCCTGTATTTTTGAAGGTTTTTTTTAAAAAAAAAAATAATGCCAAACAATACCTCATACCCTCAAGAAGTTTACAGTTTGAATCAAGGGTACTCAGTCTTTTTCAAGTTGTGGGCTCTTGTGGTAGAAAAGTAAGAGCTGCAAGATGAGTCCTGCAATCAACACAGCTCAGATTGCTTTTCTTAGCAGCCTTTGTGACTAAGAGTGTCAATCTATATATTCTCAAGATCTGCGTCCCACTTGTTGAAAACCACTGGTATAAATTACATTTCACCCAACAAAGAACCCTGCCTCCCTCCTTCAAGCAACAAAGTTTCTTTCAATATCGGACAATACAAATGGTCCATCACAGACTTGTAAACACCAGTAAGCCAGTCTGCAGCCAGACTGGCTTTATTCTTACCCAGGGCAATTGGGGTGTATTGACATCTCATGAAATTCACATCTTAGAATGTGCTGGCTCTTTTAGACACCCATAGAAAGCCAAGCTGTCTGAAAAGGGAATTCACAGCCAGATGGACTCCTCTTCAGAAAATGCAGAGAAGTGAGGCTCTGCTCCTTGAAGAAGGCAGACACCCAACTCCAGCCTGAAGGGAAGCGCCTCTCTCCACCCGCGAGACATCACCAAACCCTTCCTAGCGCTCGGTGCCTAACTCAGACTGGCTGATGGAATCAGAGTTGTTCTCACCGGACTCACACGCTGGAGTGCAGAGTCATTCTCCCTGGCCTAATGACTTCTCCAGGACAGGTACATGCTTAAGCTCTCAACATACCCAAGAAATCCCTCCTCTGTCCTGCAGTGGCTTGTTTGTGACACCAAACTGGCCCGCAGCCTCACGATTTGGGTGACTCCATACGAGGCTGCTGGCAGAAGGGTGAGCACACAGGGATTCTGCACTCTCACAAGTGTCAGGAACACTTGCTCTCGCAGAGTTCAACCTGAGGCATTTTGCTACCTAAGTCCTAAGGACCTAGCACTTACGTGTACCCTGGTAACCTGCAGACCTGACTTAGTTCTAATTTATGGAAGCCGAGAGTCACAGCAGGCAACATAACATGACCACACATGCTGACAAATGTTCTTGTCATTGTCTCTAGCTGTTCTGCTGCTTGGCTGAAGATTAGCAGAGACTTGAGTTTATTTCGTTTCTTGTTTTTAACTAATACATTCTATTCAATGAGAAATCTGCTTTTGCAAAGTGAAAAAATGCAACTGCATGTTTTGAAAGGATGTATCCTTCAGCTATTGAACAAAGGTGCTACTTAGAGCTAAGATTTTTTGCAAACACCATATTCCTAAAACCCAGAGCTTTAGAGCAGATCTTTTTCAGTCTCCTTGTTAGAGCTACAACACCCCCTCCCCCCACTTTAATTTAATTAAAAAAAAAATCAGACTGACTTCGCCGCCTGTAGACCTGGCTAGTTTTCAATCCGTTTCTGGTTTGCATATATCACTGCTCAGAATATCCAACCCCCCAAGACAAGGCCTGATCCTAGGCCTTTGGGGAATCTATGCCTTCACTATTTAACCGTTTTCTGTTTGTTTTCTAAAATAAAAGGCTTAAAAAGGTAAGTTTGGGGCTGTTTTGTTTGAAAAAGAATGAACACATTGTTATAAGCATTCACACTAGGAGCGTAAAGAGCATCATCATCTTGAAATCCCACTTCTCAGTGTGCCATAACTTACTTTCAATTTCTTGACCCTTTGCTCCAATGCCTGCATGCTGGTTGAAGGTTTTTCTTTTTGCAGCTCTTCCAGCTCTTCCTCAGTTTTATCAAGCCAAGCAGAGACATCACTGAGATCTGAGTTCAGCTGCTGCCACTGCTGCAATTTCTGTTTCATCCTAAGTTTATTTCTGAGGTCTTGAGCTTGGATGAGCTCCCACCTATCAATAATGCCTACAAACGATAGAACAACAAACATTTAAATCTTCAGTAAGGTGAAGAGCGCGTAAAACAGATGCAAGGGGTTTTAAGAGTAAATTATTCTCCAATCTACTCAAGGACAAATAATTGCTACCATGTACTACTGTTACCCAGACACATTTTCTCTTGAGATTCTGCAGTCAGGAAGTTTCATATTACTGGTTAAGTTATTCACATAGTGATTCCACATGGGATTCTAATCACATTCATTGAAAATGTTTTAATTCACTTGGAAGAACAGAACAAATCTATGGAGATGGAATTCAGTGAGCCTGGCTGTGGTTTAGTAGACACCAAAATTCATCATGGGACAAAGTATGATCGAGCAGTTAGGACTTGGGTTTACGTTTCATCAATTTAGTGCTTTAGCAGATGGAAATGCCACCTCTGTGATCACTAACACCATTTCTGGAAGCACATCTAATCCCTTCTCAGAGGTTTTCTATTCACCCCATGGATGAAACTCAACCCTGGTCCATCTGTGAGACCAGAGACATAAACTAAGCAAGCTGGTGCACATAGCTACAGTCTTCTGTTTATCACTTGATTTGCTTTTGTGATTGCAGTACAGATGTGTTATTACAATCTCAAGCACCTAGAACCAGGAATGAGGTCCTAAGAGGTTCAGAGAACCAGCTTGTTCACCTATTTTGGAGAAAGGACCACAGTGAAGACAGTGAAGAACAGAATACATGACCAGCTCTGACATTTCTGTAAATGGGAGCTGTAGCATCTTGTTTTATGGAGTACCAATAACTGAGACAACGAACCACAGCAATCTTATTTTAGGCAATGAGACACACTTTGGTTTGAAATCTGATTAAAAGTCTCTGAAGTATTCAGTAGCACACAAAAGTGAAATTGCTCCCATCCATTCCAACCAGCAAGGAGGCAGAAGTATATTACAGGTGATAAAAATCTCGATTCTGGCAGAAAATGTGGAAGCTCAGAACAGCAGACACGGGTTGGAAAGTACCAGGTGAGAAGGCAGCTCAGCCAATCTTAGCAAAATACATTAATGTAGAGAATAGTGGTTTACTTCTGTTTTCTCCCAAGGCAAATGTGCTGCCTTTGTGCCACCTCTGCTTTATCTCCCCCCAGTCACAGGACAAACACCACAGCACCAACGCCACTGCTAAGGCTCTGTACCTGACTGCTTCTCTGCAGCTGCGATATTCACGAGCTCTTGGTCATCCTGGGGTTCTTCATCACTCATGTTTGCACACGTAATTTTCTCCTTGTTGATGCTGCTGCTGCTTGCAGGGCTGAGCTGCTTCACCTGGAATGACATTTTGGTGGGTCAGCCCTACAGGTTAACAAGCCACCAAAGGTCAAACTTCATATGTGTTACTTTCGGGTGGCTGGGCTGCTGTTGAGCTCTTGCATGTCAGATTTAGCACTGGGCTTCTTTGCTAACAGTTTATACTGGCTCTCTGTGCCTTCTCAGTAAACAAACACACGCCATAGTGATGCTAATTATTACAGGAGTGGACATGGTAAATCAACTGCTTTTGCACTACATGTACCAGACAACGTAAATCTGCTGACGCTGATTGTTGGATTCTGGGTCTTGGCAATAAGACCCAGACTCTAAGGCTCTAAGACCAGATGAACGATGACAAAAGCAGCCAGGTACCAGCACCATTTTGTGCCTGGAAGAGGACGGACAGCTGGTCCAGACCTATTGAGCCTGGCAGCTGCTGGTGAAGCCACGGCTGGCAACCAGCCATCCAGGCTGAGGTGCCAACAAACAGTAGCCATTTGGGCACATTTTTTAGTGCCCAGAAGCAGATTAAATGGTGGGTTGCACCCTAGAAAAGGACCCTTCAAATCGGTCTGCTTAGGAAAGGGAGATACATCAGGGAGTATCAAGGGAGAGTATTTACAGCCCCTCCTTGGAGGCGAGTTTAAATTCTCCTAGACTTCTCCTATAGCAATAAAGGACGTAAGTTCCTCCAGACACTGACTCTGATCAGGAGCCTAACGTGACTGTTCTGATTTGCTTTAAAGAAGCTTTTCTAGCAAGTGGACAGAGACTCTCCCTGGTTACCTGAGCCACCAGAAATAATGTCTGAGTTTGCATAAGGCAACTAATCTTCTGCAACTAATCTTTTCCTTGATGCTGGAGGAGGGAAGAGGATGGAGTTACACAGGAACCCCAAAGGGACTGTGTAGTACAGGTTCAGAGCCCACAGAGCCTCCAACTCACATAGTCTGGCTTATAGGGAGTACTTGTCTCTGGACCAGACAACACATTTCCAACCATCTCTGTCTGGTTGTATCGGTGTTTCCTGCAGACTGGGCTATCTGGGGAATGCCAAGGATGAGCTTCTGAAACAGACTTTCCTGAAAGAAATAAAACCAAAGCCGTATGCCATGAGTGTGAACTCCCATCTCCACAAGGAAGCTGTTGCTTTGTATTAAGTTAGAAAGCGCTCTGAATAAAATGGCATCAAGTTATGGCATCAAAATGACAGTTTTGCAGCTTTCCTTGCAAAGCATGCACATTTGCAAAACATCAACAGTGTTTCAAGGTAATGAGATGAGAGCCATGCAGTTATGGGACATTCTGTTTTCTTCTGGAAAATGCTTGAATACAGGTATGAGTATTCAAAAAATAAATGAAAAGGGCTGCACTGTGGCTTTGGAAAATTTGCAACCCAACAATAATATTCCACATCTGCAACGCATTTCAGTAGGGACATGTATAGACATGTCCTGATATGGAGAACGTTTGTTCTGGATTTAACAGACAGGACACACACGGTTCTGTCATGCACAAAACACAAAAAGTACTTGCAGAGTTGGAACTACTGCCTTCAGTAAATATGCAATCAAAATCAGAAACAACCAAAAAAGTGATACTACCCAGAGCAAACCACCAAGAAAGTACCAAAAGACTTGGGATCAATACAATGAAATGCACATTAACCACCTTGGCATTTACTAGGAAAAATCTAAATGGTATGTTCTTGACTGCTTTGTAATGTACATGTGAATACTGCAGCGTAAGAACACCATGACAGGATGAGACATGGTGTCCACACAAGGCAGGAAGTCAGACATTACATATGAGAGAGGTTGAGGAATATAGCGTGCAGCACAGGGAGATTGCCATGTTCAGACACATGCATTAGCAGGTGCCTACCAGAAGTTGCTTTCAAAGTTTTTGTGGTCATTTTAAGATATGCCTCAGGATTTTCAGTGATTTCTACATCTGAAAAAAGAATAATGTCATTTTCCTCACTATTCAATATTTTCCAACTATTAAAAACAACTGAAACAATCAGGGACAGGAAAGACAAAGAACAAACAGGCTGTTGGTACTATTTCCATCAAACATTCTTAAGAAGCAAGGTTTCTAAAAACCTAATGTTTCTGAAAATATAAGCTTGGTTTAGACAATACCATTCCCTTCATCAAGGCATCTAGGAGATGAGACTGCTCCCATCTATTAAAAGTACTCGAAAACCAACGAACAACATGGGAGTAAGACCTCCATCCCCCTCCCTTCCCACACAGGGACATCCTGCAGTTGTCCACCTCAAAACAAACAGCTGGCGATTGGTTCTCACCTGACAGAGCACTGTAGTATGTTGCTTCTTCTTCGTCTTCATGAGAGGAAGAACCTCCCACATCACCTGTGTGATCCCACTCGAGTGGGATGGAGTCAACACTGACGGGGGTTTCACATCCTGATCTTTCATGACCTTGAGTAGGGGGCATAAGGTGGCAAAGGGACTGCGTTGAAGAGGGCTCCTCACTGATGGCCTTCTTATGCCAGGGATCATTCTGGATTTCTCTGGAGTCTTCTGGATCTGTCTCATTTTCAGAGGTCTCTTTTTCATCATCCAATCCCTAAAAATAAATAACAGTTATTGCATATTAGTAAGATTTACAATAGATCTACACTGCTTAATGAGCTAATGATTGAGCCCTACAGTATTACTGGGGACTGTTTTGCAGCCAGTTGCAGTAATTGAAGACCATGTGTCAAAAATTAAAGGGAAGCATCATTTCTGCCTCCTTCCTCTTTTGTCAAAATAATCCTCAGATCAGCACCCCTCTTTCAAGACACTCAACCATCACCATAAGATCTCTCTCTAGTTTGCAGGGAGGAGTACCCAGTTCCAAATGGACTGCACAGATCAGCAATGAAATGATGCTCAGGCAGGAGTGAACAGCTGCTCACAGATGTTCATCTTACTTCCTCTACCTGGTTTTCTAACAGATGTTCTTTCTTTTTGAGCCAAAGCAAACTGAGAATCATTGAAATGTTCTCAGTGAAAAGTAAAGAGCATGCTGTTACCCATTCAGGGTTCTCACAAGAAAGTGGACAGATGGAATTAGTCACAGACTAATCCATAGAGAAATTCTAAGCACATTATTGAAATTAAAAAAAACGATGGGAAATTAAAAACACCAAAAAAGCTTCTGAAGCCCTCAAACCACTGCTATCTGAATATTAACCCCGTGAATGACTTCCATGCTATTATCCAGATTCTGCAGATGGAGTGCCAACAGGAGAGGTGTGAGGAGACAAGACTGGTGACAAAGATTTAGCAAAGTTGGCACAACTACTGAGGAGATCCTGACCCCTTTGAGCTCACACCACTCAGCCAAGTGGCTAGGGATAAGCAATGAGCATTGCAGTTTAAACACCAAAATCTTGCCAAAGCATCAAAACAACTGTTGCTTCTTACAGGATGCCTTGAAGTCAATCTTTGATGGAACCGGGCAACCCTCCCAAACACTTCCTGGCAGTATCGATGAAGTTCTTCCAATTCGTCTTCAATCAGTGTAGCGTCCAAAGGCTCACTCTTCTGAATTAACTGCTCCCCAAAAACGATCAGCTGATCAATCTTATTGGTGTTTAGTGTTATTTCCTGCTGGAAACCCTATTTGGAACATACAAGAGAAATAATTACTTCTGCAATGCCCCTTTCTAGCCTAATGTTTGTCCTTTTCTCTCTCACTGCAGTGAAAGAAAATCAGCAATTAACATTGTTGTATAATTTCATTTGGCAAAAATCTTTTTACTCAAGAGGTCCAGAAGTTTGTTTTATTAGCAGGCTTACAGTTCCAAATGAAATGGCATCTTCCACTCACGTGTACATCAATATGACTGCAGTGTCCTGAGCCTCTGGGGGATCATGATATGAGAGTTCAGCTAATCAGAGTTTATTTTTCTGTTGGGTACACACAATCTTTTTCTTAGTAGCAAAGAAGTTTGTTGGGCTGGTTGAGCCTCCAGCCCACATAATAGTAAATCTACATCTCCAAACAATTAACAGGGCAGGGAGAAAGGAGAAATGAGCATATGAGCAGGTAGCAAAGAACTAGTATGTTCTTTAGAATCAGTGCACATACCCGATGCCTTATTTCTGTTTGAAAGTCCCAGCTACAAACAATGAACTCAAGAGGAGAGATCCTACCTTAAGGCCAATTAAAAAAATCTCACCAGAAAAACACACTTGAAATTGGGAATGTAGCTTTTACTGTTAACCTGCATGTGCTTCTCTTCAGGCCAGTTATCACTGTCACTGACAATCAGTGTTAGGAGAAAACGGCAGGATAGAACTGAGCTTAAACACTGAATCTGAGTTTAAATACTGTACAGTTTGATCTGGATTCAGAAGACAAGTCTTAACAATTTACTGGTGTTTTAAAACAAAGAGAACCCTGCAGAAATCTGTTGGTTATTGTGAATTTCCAGAAAAGTAGATGATTCTGTCAAGAGAGGGCAGCCCCGTAGGATCAGCTGGGCTCTATTAAACAACTGCTTGATATGGATACGTACATTTAACTGGCGCATTTTGTCATCAAAGTTACTTTTTGAGAAGTGCTCCACGTTTGTCAGCTGAAGGTCCATTTCCGTGAGCCAAACAAGGATGCTTTCCCTCGTCCCCTCAAACTCATCTCTCCGATTGGTGAAGTGCTGAATAGGAAGAAGGGAGCCAGTGTTATAAGACTTCAGCTACCAAAAAAGATGGTCACAGGAGCCCTCTGGAAACAGTGTTTTGTTTCAAAACTGCTGTTGACCTTAAAGGACTTCAGGGCACAAATGGCAACATGTCACATATAAAATCTGTTCCCTTCCTGTTGTGATGCTGGAACAAAGTGTCCTATGTTAGTACACTACCTGTATGGGAGAGGGAATAAAATTTCAGCAGTTCAAGGTGCTTCTATATAACTACATTCAGTGTAATAGTTATTCAGACTCACGTTTAAGATCTCATTTGTTCTAATTTTAGAAGACAGACAGACAAAGGAATCAAGACCCATCTCTAATTAATCAAAACTATGACATTAAAATCAATGAAACAGTGGAGAAGCTGGATCACGGATGACCACGCCAGTGTAATTAATGCATCATTTGCCATGGAAGCCAGCAGGAGCTCTCTCTGCTGCCATGTCCCACAGAAACTGCCAACAGACACGCAGCTTGTGGTGCCTCAGTTCTCTTCAGTGGATTTACTGTCCAGGAAGGGGATCATCTAACAGCCCAAACACAACACCTCCTAACTGCACAGATCAAACCCCACCAGTGCTCTCACAGCCTCATCCACTGACTTCTGGGATCTAATATTTTCCCTTGTCAATTGCTTGCAGCACTGGTGCATCTGAAAATCGGGCAGTGAGAAGTTTCCCCCAGGGCACAGCACAGAATATCTGCCCAGAGATCAGTTTAACTCAACAAGCAGGACACTTCTTTAGTGTCACAAATACAATCCTCCACCAGGCAGAGAGCACAACAGGAGCTGGTGACAGCAACATGTCTCTCCATCACATCTCCACGTTTAAAGCCTTGTAGGTGAATCATAACTTCACATAAAGTAGAGCTGTGTTGTAAACTCCAAACTGCATCTGCACGGGGGCCCTTTTGTCTCTCTGCCTCTTATTTATGAAAAGGTGCAAATGTATGAACGCACCCACCCATGACAAGACCAGGTAAGAGAAGAGTGGGATAGGAGCAGTGAGGCCTGCAACACACCTTCCAAAATTTACACCCATTCTTCCCTTACGCTTCTTCAACTACCAAGAACACATTTATGCCCTGTACTTGGTGACCTTTCCAGAGCTGCTTTCCTACCCTGGTAACTGAAGACATAAACCAACACAAGATAGTTGCTCCAGTATGAGTTTTACCCTTGGGTAATTTCTACAGAAACTTGCAAGTGCTCCTCACTCTTTTACCCCACCAGGCAATTACCTTGAGCCTCCTCAGAATGGCAGCGACTCGTTTCTGGAGATTATCCCAGCGCTGGTTGCCTTCGTGCACCATCTGCTTCAGCTTGCTGGCTGAGTCCGTGCGGTTCTCGCGGGCCAGGCGCCTGTACTGCTTGTTGATCAGCTCCAACTGTGTGAGCCGTTCATGAATGTGCCGTTGGAATGCCTGCAAGGCAAATCAAGGAACTCAGTTCCCTTGCCGATAAGAGAAAGGATCCAGATGATACTATTCATCAAGAGAGATGATACCCTCCCCTTAAAAACAGACCTTCCAAGCCCAAAATTAAATCCAGAGAAGGACCCGTATTTTAAATCGTCTGCTCAGACTTAGCTCATTAGGGAAAAAAAAAAAAAATAAAATCAACCCACAAAAGTCTTCTGCCTATAAAAAGCAAATCTTTAACTTATAAGCAGAATCTTGTCAGTTCAGACCATTGGATTCTTCATATTAAAAAAAGTCCTGCAGACAGATAAATCAGCCAGATACCTAGCAGCCACATACTGGCCAAATTATTTATATTCTCTGAACAGAAATGCTGCCAAACTCGTGTTTTTCAGTGATCCAGCCATTTCACATAGACAATAAGTATTTATTCAGCATGCTGCTGAGCATAAAAACACGAAGTTAAAAACTTCACCTCAAATTTCTTCAGCTCCTCCTTTGCATGTGTGTACAAAACCTCTGAAGAATTAGGCTTAGCTGCTGTACTTTCAGATGATTTTAGCCAATCTTCAAAGCGAGAATAATCATCCAAAAACCTCTGCCATAGGCGCCAGGTTTCCTCGATTCTAACAGGGAGAAGTAAAAAGGGAAAGGTTTTATCACAAGCTAACTATTAATATTGGATTTTTTTCTTTTTCAAAACTCAGCTTGTGGCAAAACTACAGCATTTCTTCAAGATGCTGCCACAGGCTTCTTTAGGAGGGGTAAGAAAAGAGACTTACTTCATTCGCCTTTCCATAGACATGGCGCAAATGTTTCTCCACCGTCTGTCCAAACTCCTGGTAGTCTGCTGGATGGAGTCACACTCTGTCTCATTAGCACACGCGTCTGAATCGTGTAGCAGGACTTCACAAATATTAAACACGGATTCCACCCCTGCAGTGTGTTGCTCTATGTCTCGCTGCAGATCCTGCCATTGGCAAAAGAATAGCTTGAGTAGAAGGAAACACGCGCAGCGAGACTTCAGACATACCCTTTCAAAATGCGGCAGAGGATGGGGAGAGGGCAATTTGTGTGTCAGGAAAAGCAAATTTAGCTTTAGAAAACAGATTTGCAGGATGAGCTGTGCAGGTGACAGGCTGACAGGTCAGGACAGAATTGCCATGCAAAAAGGGATTGTCCAGCTCTCGTTTCCTCAGTGAAAGCCCAATCTTCTCATTAGCAGTCTGGATAATTTTAATGTGCATTCAAGATCCAAATCTTTCACATACTGTAAACACATACTTATTAATTTTGACAGTCCAAGATGACAGTGTCTCATATCAGCCTACTGCACTGTAAGACGTGACAGAGAACTTGTAGTACAGTTTGTGTACTTTAGTGACTATATGATCACAGGCTGGTACCACGAAAGGTGTTACATTACTTATTCCCTCTTGTACAGCTCCTGTTTTGACAGACTATTTTAAAGGGTCTGGGAAGACCCTTCATACACTACAGGTTTCTTCTCCAGAGCCTGCATCTCCATCATAATCTGGCCTCTCATTCTGTACCGATAACTACTCCTAAAGTCAATGTAATTGAATAATAGAAAAATAAAGCCTTATTTAAATATTTCTTGTTGAAAAGTCATTAAGGAAATGGCAATGTCCACTACATTTCCATTTTTTCAACTTATCTCTGACTTTCCTAACAAAGGATAGGCAGACTTTTGCTTGAACAGCACAAGAGTAACAAACACAAATGAGTGTTTTACTGACAACAGCAAACAGAAAGTCCCATTAAATGGTATTATTGATTTCAGCGAACAGATGAAGCAGAATTGGTTTTGCTCTAGACTTACAAAACAAAGTAAAACTAACAAAAAAATCTCAAAACAGACACAGCTTGTAGTAAATACAAAAGTATTTGAAGGAAGATCTTCCTAGAAGTCAGCAAGCTGCAAGGAGTTGAGTATCACCCAGTGGCAGTCTTCAGTGTTGTTACATAGGTACCTGAAAGGGCTGAGCCATAAATGGTCAAAATTTGGCTTGTGGGATTCATGGTAATGTACAGCTTTAAGGAATACAGAAGCCAAAATCTTTATGTAGATGAGAGACTGCCAGAAGCAGCCCCGACATAATTTTTGAAAGCTTATGAAGGATTCACAGCTGTTTTCTGAACAAGAGGCAGCAGTGTCTTTTTAACACAGGCTCTTATGTCTGGAAGCAGGCTCTACCCCATTACTGGTACCTGAAGAGACTCTTCTGAATTCATGAGACTGGATTTACAGCTGTATTAGTGAAAATGAGAATTTGGACCACAGATTACAAATCCGCTCTACTTGCACTGTGGTAATGTTGCTGACACAATCTCATTACTTTTGGTTGTGCCTGTGTTCATGGAGTAACCACAGGCAGAATCCATGCTGTTTTCCAAGCTGTTATTCCAAATGACTTGACTGCATTATGGTGAGACAAACACAACAAACTAACAGGGCCAGGAACATACATTGAGCCCCAAAAAGCACTTTTCCTTCAACTCTGAAGAGACTTGTCCAGAGAGCATAAACAGACTACATGCTGCCAGACTTCTGCATTAGTGGAACAGCTTTGAAATCTTAAAATTAGTATTACTCATGTTTTAATCGTCATCCTTTAATTGAACAAACATGCCATAAAACATCTATGTGGATGCACAATGCTTGTAAATGTTATTATTCAAGACTGAACATGTAAAGCTTTTCCAGTCATGGATGTCAAATAAAAGAAGCCTGTAGGGCATATTTCTCACCATCACTGCTCTTGCTGAAATAGTTGTTCAGATAAAACCAGGAAAGATCTTTTTACTTGTTGCACTCAGATAAAGGTTTCTCTAAAGCAGAGCGAAAGAGGCTTTTTTTTTTTACTGTGGTCTTTTTAGTCAGCAGAGTCTTCTCACACTCAGCCTGCTAAAAGGTTACAGTAGGAGTCTAGAGGTACCCAGAGGTCTGTGTTTGAAACAGATCCCAAACAACAAAGCAGTAAGTAGCTCTGAGCAGCAAACGATGGCTCTTTTAGCGAGCTGAGGCTTGAATGCTCATAATAAAAATAAACTAGTTTGGACACAATTCCTTTGTGCCCCACTTTCTTCTGTGCCTGGCAACTTATCACAGCCTTTGAGAATGCAAAAGGTTTGGATGGGGAGAAAATAGTTCCCCGTTGTTTATATGACCATTCACAATGCAGATGAAACCATCAGAAGAGGCACTGGGCCAACACTTCTGGTGTTAGACCAACTCCTGCAGTGGAGCTGGTGGGAGCCATCTCCACTCCTGTCACAGAGGAGCTGGCCCTTCCCATGATGTCTGGGACCGGAATGGATGGATATCAACCAGCAGAGAACACAGCCCTCAGGTCTGGGTCACTCAGGGATCTTTACTTAGACATGAAAGCAGCAGCCAGGGACAGAAGATGGGAAGAACACCCATAGGTGTTCTTAAAGGCAGATGCAATAAAGCTTCCATGATTGACAGCTTTATTCTTGATCCTCAGTTTTAGGGCAAATATTTTTGTTTAACACAAAGGCCAGATGACAGCTGTGGTCATTCTCAGCCTTCCTAGGGAGGCACTTTGAACCCAGGCAGACTTACAGCACAGGCCCAAGCAAAGGTGGACTCCAACAATGAAGTCTGTGCTTTGCGAAAGTTCCTTTTCCTTCCCTGGCTGCTGGAGAGAGAAATTTACTCCAGGACTATCCAACTCATTTCACACTTCCACTTGGCTGGGATAGCTGTCAAATTCAGCTGTGCCCAATCCTTGCCATCTCCAGCACGTAAAACTAGCATAAATCCTTAAGATCCCTCTGATAAGTCCCTGTCTCAAATAAATGCCTACACGCACTCAATCAACACCAGTGCTAGGTTGGTTCACACTTGTGCCTCAGCAGGATTCACGCACCAGCTCACCCAACTCTGAGAAGACCTTCAGAGCCTGCCTACTGGATCAGGCCTCAAAGGTGTGTTTGCACAAGTCCACCCTCCAAAGCTCAAACACCCTTCTCTGCCAAGCTTGCTCTGCTGTCTTCAAGGAGAGGAAGAGAACTGAGCTAGTGAGGGCAAAATACCAAATCACAGCACTTAGATCTGCCACAGCCAGTTTGCAGAAGACCCGGCATTCATGCCTTGTCAGCCTAAGTCATCCTCAGGGATTTTGTCCACTGTCTGTGCCTGTCCTAGCCCTTCTGAAGTCTGGAAGTCTGGTGTACTTAACTGAGCAAACTATCAAATGTAAAAATGCTTTATTTTGTATTTTGCATGTTTTCCTTGGGTGGAGGGGGGAAGGGAGAAATACTGAAATTACAGCAAGCAAATAAAAATTTTCCATGTAATGCATCTTGGCAGAAAAATGCCATGAAAAGCAGAGTTAGAAGGCCTTGCTAAAGAAAAGAAACAGGTGATTTTAAACCAGGACCAATTGTAATCAGCAGCATTTTAGCTCATTTACTCTGGCTGCTGCTATTTCCCACCTGCTGTTCTGCCAGTCTCTTCTGGATTTCTTGGTCATCACAGATGTCATAAACAACAGGCTTGGAAAGCTCAGACTCAATCCGGGCCAACCAGGTGCGAAGGTTACTCATGTTTTTGTCCAATAGTTGTATAAAAGCAAATGTTTCCTTCAGTTTCTTCACCCTAAGCAAACCAGGAAGAACATTTTGTTACAAAGATCTGCAATCAGTGGAAATTATGTTAGCAGAAGGCGATGACAGGCATGGCTTTGTGAAGCACTTACTGTCGCACCAAGCTGTTGCCCGTAAATCAGAGCCATGTTTTAGTCAAAACCTACCTAAATTGGCTCAGCAGGCTTCTGCTCTACAGCTGCAGGAAGGTCTTCTGTGAAGTCTTTAATGAAACTATATGAGCAGACTGAAATTTGGTAGCCCTATTTTCATCTGCTAGTGAGATCTTCAGTCAGTTCTTGGACATTTGTCTATGTGGGAGTGAGTACTGTAATATGTCACAGTTAAACTAAAATGGGTATCTATGGTCTGATTTTCCTACTGTGATTTATGTTCAGCGTCTTCTTCAGCAACCAACAGACCCACCCTAATCACGAAGGTACTGCTCTGCCAATGGAGGTAGAATTTGCCCAAACCACAAGTCCAAAATGCTGGGCAAATGGATGCTGACAAGAGAGGAGAAAGCCTGAACAACGGCCACCATAGAATTTACAGTGCTGCGACAATAAAAGCTCTTCTAAACAATGCACTGAAATGTGCGGAGATGTGCCCGACTGTCCTGGTGGGTGAAAATGAAAAAAACCCAACCAGTCCTGCCTGAAGAGGGAGAATATCCAATGGCTAAAGAGAACTGTGCAGCAGACAAACAAATGAACCATCAAGACCATTTACTTTTCTTACAGCTGTTTGTAGCATAGCTCTCTAACTGCAGACAAACTTTTCTTTATTTTCAGCCTTTACACAATATAGTCATGTCAGAGCCCCCTACCAGCCCCTCAAATTATCCAAGTAGCATGTTTGTACTTTTTGGCAAATTTGTCCCCATGTGTTGGAGGAGTATCTGTTAAACCACCACTCTGCTCCCAGATCTTTCCCTGAAATTCTCATTTATTGCAATTCCCAACAAAAATTACTAAAAAGCCCAACACCAGGGTGACAATTATCTCTTCTGACTTCAGACTGATATTGGAGCTTGCCATGTAGACCTTGGTAGTTAATGAAGAAAAAAAAAAAAAAATCTAGATCATGATTTCCATCAGACTTAAACATCCAGATCACAAGATGAGATGAACTGTACCAAAAAGCACATATTTCTCTCCACTAAATGCAACGATCTACCCTGCACTACTACAAACATCAACACTGCAGATGCGAGTCAGGTGAAATCATTCCCACCCTGTCCTAGGACAGATCCCATGTCTTAGCCAGCATTGCTTTCCCATGCTGTCCTCCTGGCTGCTGGCATCCCTCTGATGTCTCGTTCTGTCCCTGTGCCTTGGGATAGATTTTTAGACCTTGCATGTGATTTATAAAATGCAAATTTCTGAATGAAACCCTAAGTTATTGCCTGGTCTAGCAACTACCCAGATGATCCTCATTATCTAAGTCAAGTGCAGTGCAGAAAGTTAAAAGCAGACATCGTGAAAATGCCAAAACATTTCCCATTCACTAGCCACCATGACTGGGAACTGGCACCAGCTAAACTGAACCAGCAGCTGGGACTGGAAGAGCCGCTACTCCAAGGGGATCACTGCATGTCCCAAAATGCAGGGGACTGCTGGGGGGTCCGAAATGAACCCTAATGTACTTGGCAACACCAGCACTGTGCAAGCTAGGACCAGGGCAGGGTGGGATGTGATCTCATCTAGTGCAGGCAGAGACATGTGACACAAAGACAGAAGTGTGCTGACAGGGTACCTGGCTTCGTGCACAGGACCTGCCCCTCCTTGCAAGAGAAATGAAGAGTTTCTGGGCCCACTGTCCTGCCTGCTGCCAAACTATCCTAGCAAGTTTTAGAGGAGAGGGGTCCAAACTGCCTGTAACGGATTGGCTTTTGCAGTTGCCTGCTGCAGCATGACACAATGACAGAAGATAGGCAGGACAGCTAATCAATAACGAATATGTCACTCTGTAAGCAACAACCGATCTTATTAGCAACCTTAAATTAATCAAAGAGGATACCTATGTCCGCTACACACCTGATTTAAGGTAAAGCATTTACAGAGGAGATGTTGGGGATGATCCTACTGGATTTGTTCAGCTGCATTGGTTACTGTGAAGGTACAGCAAATTTGGGGTCTCATTTGGATTAGCAGCATGGGAAGCACCTTCCCCTACCTCTTGCCCCCAAAAGGACCAGGTACTACTTTCAGCTGTTTTACATGGAGAGCAAGAAGAGCACAGTCCTACACTAAGCCTCCTGGCAGATATTTAGCAACTCTGCACTCTTTCAAAACATAAAATTAGTCTTGTCTGGTAGATGCAACCCTGCAAGCCAGCCTGAAGGATTTGGCCCAAGTCCATGGTCCACCTTGTTCCTGCCCTGCACCCATAAAGCCACCAATAGTGGTGTAAAGTGCAAAGCAGCTGCCTCTGCCCATTTACACTGATGGTGCTTCCCACTGCTGCAGCTGGCAGAGAGGAAGCCAGCAGATGACAAAAGCATTTAGCTGCTCTCGCTTTCCTTAACAACTTATTTCCAGGGCTCTGCTCCTAAGTTCAACCCTGTATGCAAAAGGCATCTGGTTCCCAAGCCATCAGCTGCTATATAAATCTTCCTGCTCCTGGTTTTGCTTCTATTAAATGGTACTCGATGAACATGCCATACTCTGGGAACTGCACGGCATCTTCTTGTGCTGTTATGGGCTGGCAGTAATTTACCCAGGAGATCTAAATCTTCATCCACTCTATCCCCTGCTTCTGTCCCACCAGTCAATTTGGATCCAGTTGGTTATGATGCTCAGCAGGGCCTGTGACTCCCCAGGGGATGTGGCCCACCAAAGACAGGTGACTTGGGAACCCACCTCCCTGGAGTGATGGGATGATACAGGCTCTGTGTTGAGCACCAAAGGGAAGAACCCCTAGAAGAGCCAGGCCCAAAGAAGAATCTGAGCCAAACAGCTACGCTGTTTCACCGCTAACTCTGCATGACTTCAGGCCAGTTGGGAGCAAAGCAAGGCTCGATGGCTGCACTGTCCCTAACTGTATCCAGTGGCAATTTATTCTCTGCATATTCTATGATGTTCCCCACTAGTTCTTTGGAAATGTCTCTCTGGCAACTTGCAAGAGATGCACATGTTGGGACCATCTGATGCCACAGCTGACGTGCTGAGACCACAGCTTACTGTGCTGCTCAGTATCACCTCTGCTTCCCTCTACTCCCTCCTCTGTATCCACCTGCTTTCTGTCCTGAGGTTGAATTACAGAAAAATTCACAGGTTGCAAGATATGTTTCTTCAGACTGCATATTGGATAACAGGTAGGTGAACATAGCCAATAAAGTCCAAAGCAAAACCAAGTGATGTTAGATGATAAATAAATGACTCTATGACTGACAGCACATTCAATAAATTTAAGAAACAACAGTTTTAGAATCCAAGTGGGGTTAAACACACACCGCCCCCCCCATATTATTTTTGGCTTACAAATCACTCTACAATTCAATTTACAGATATTACGATAAATATGTGGGTCTTTATCCACTGGTATTGTAGAAGCAACAGTCTCAAAGACAGCACCGCTCTGGTACTGTGAGGTTGTATTTATTTTCTAGCAATTGCTATTACAGACACACCATTGTAATTAAGTAAACTAATCTGCTACGTATTCTGGATAGAAGATGGCATTTGTCAGTCATTTAACCACCCTTAATGCTCCAAATCATTAATCTCAAACTTGACCGAAGCTGCCAGAGAAGAATAAAAACCTAACAGAAGTTCAGTGTGTAAATAGGAAGGCAGCTTTGTCCAGATGTTCACACCAGCTGATCTGCTCTTGTTGCAGTCAGCAGACACAGAGCCCCAGGTACAGGGTAGGGTTCTACACTGAAGCAACAGATGAAATGATGAAAAATTTGAGCATTCTCCCTGAGCACCCTCAGCTTGAACAGAAGTCTCAGGGAACTGTCATTTCTCTGGCTACAGCTCAAAGGAAAACCTAAACCAGACTAATTACAACCATAAAAGTCTTAACATTTGCAACAACCCTTCTCAGATGCATTTCTGCACATGGCAAGCATTCTTGCAAATTATCTGCTCTTTGCATGAATAAAACCTCATGAACTCTTTTGAAATGCATCCTGGAGGGACTATTTGTCCAGAAAGACAGGCGTCCTGGGAGCGGGGTGGGGGTGCACAGTGCAAGCCACTGAGCCTGGGGGCAAAAGCTCCCCCCACCTCCAGGTGACCGATTGCAGCGAATTAACATCAAAAATGCAGCAGAGGAAACAAACTCCCCCCAGTTACCCAAAAGGTAGGAGAGGCTGCCACCACTGCTGACTGAATTCTTCCTCTACAAAGTGTAATTCTCAAGTTATTTGGTCAAACAGGCAAAGCCTACCGTTTACTGAACAAAGGCCTACCTATCCATAGCTCGCTTCCCAATGAGAACTCACCTGCCACCTTTCAACACGCCCCCAGAATAAGAAAATAGTAATAATTTTTAAAATCCAGCAAAAATCACCACTGATCTAAAAAACCCCAACAAACTCAAACATCTCTTATATTTTGCGATGGGTCCAGCTTAAAAGATAACCTGATTCAAAACAGCACTTAGAGAAAGGTATAAGATGCCTGGGATAAGCCAAACAAAGCCAGTTTCGAAATGTCTTAATCTTTATACCAAAATAGAAGTGGCAGAAAAAGGTCAAAGCTGGGAGATTATAACTAAAAGCTGACTGCAAAAGTGAACAGAAGGACTAACTGTCCTGACTCGAGATTGGATTTGGGTCTTAATACCCTCAGTGAAGTTGCCAGCATTGAGTTACAAGAGAAATGAAGTAAGCTGTTTCAGGCTGAACCATTAATGCACAGAATATATCGTAGTAACTACTCAGGAAGAATCTAGCAGTAGAAGGCACTTCCAGGTTGACTGAAATGTATTCACACAAACATAAAGAATTGCAAAATGCCTGCCAATTGCATTGCATTAGCTGTCAAAACGCTACAGGAAAAT